GGGGGGGGGGGGGGGGGGGGGGGGGGGGTGTGCTCAAAAAAGCTTTATACAACTCCTTACCCTTTTATATACCTTTTTCACGAAAAAGGTACCGCTTTCACATACCTCGTTAGAACTTTGTATCCCTTTTAACTGCTGTAAATGCATTGTCATTTAAATAGGAATCAATCACAAAAATAGAACGTTTTCCCGACTTTGTAAAGCCATAAAATTCATCTGTTAGCCCTTTGGGCCCTTTCACAGACCCAAATGACAGATTTCACCACCCTTTCATATACCTGAAGCCTGAAAAAGGTACCCCTTTCGGCTGAGCCTCCCCGTATCAGGCCATTATAGGAAGTACCCCCCTCCCCCGGTTCTTACACCAAGGAAAACCCACAATTTGGGCTTTGATTTATACCGAGGTAAAATTTACTTAAAATAAAGCTCAAGAGGAAGTAATATTCAAAGAGTTCGCGTTAAAATGTGGCTTCTGTTTTAGCTGAGATGGCCAATTAGAATTGACCAATATGTGAATTTCCGCTGTAGCATGAACGACACTTATGTCTGGACGGCTGCTTCATGCTTCCGTAATCATGTTGTGTTAGTTTTTAAAAACTAGCTTCTACTCTGCAGCTATAACCTCTTAACTGAGGTCGAACAACGAGGAGATTATGACGATAGAAAGCTGAAGTAACTCTTCCGCAACATGTGAGTGAATCCGGGAAATTTTTGCTTGTAGAATGCGAAATCCCGAAAATGTTTCTTGTAGAATTCGGAATCCTGGGCTTTGGAATCCAAAATACAGTTCGAGGAATCCGGATCGCACTTACGACTAGAATCCGGAATCCCAGTTCCACTGACAAAGAATCGGCCGGAATCCAGTGTCAGGTGTCTGGAATCCACGGCGCGGAATCCAGAATCCAAGTCTGTCTAGGGTTGCCTTGCATGTGGCGAAAACTCGTACATTCATAGTTAACATAACGTTTTTCAATCGCCATTTTTCTTCGCTGATTACACCTTACACAGAGCCCCCTCGTTGTCGTTACACACGGCATCAGCTTCATAAAAAATGTTTGCTGTTTATGTTTGAACCGGAGTTAGAGTAAAAGACAATGTTCTTCAAAAATAAACCGGAAGTAACTAACCCAACTACGAAGGAAAAAAATCAAGGAATGAGGTTGAAGAACTCCCAGGGGTACCGTAGAGGGATTGACCCAAGCATGGGTATAGGAATCTGTAGCGACTAGCCTACTAATTATACAGCCGTTGCCGTAAGTTAAGGACAGCACACTCTGAGTTAGAAAACATTTCCGGAAAATGGCAAAATACACGATCTGCCATCTCTTTACACTATACTAAAATTTAAGACAAATGTTTGGGAAAAGCTCCGTGCAGCAAATCGTATGCCCTGTAACAGACAGGTCTCCTGGGACGTTCCTGGATAAGGAAGTGTCTCCTTCTCCATCCGGGTAAGTATTTCAATACTTTTCCGGATGACGTGACGGTGACGCAATTTGACAGTTTTAATAGTTACCCCGATGGAAAAATTGTTTGGGTTGCTAATGCGGCGAGCGAGGATAAAGTAACTTGACCTCTCTCGTTTGACAGAGAGGGTGAAAAGGTCGATACAGTCAAAATTCATTTTTGGAAACTTAAACAGTCTGACTCTAAATCTAAAAAATGTATCTTCTTTTGTGCCCTTATGTCTGCCGGCTTCATAGTGTATTAAAGAGTAGTTTATTTTTAAAATTTCAAAATAAGAATTACTTGTTCCGCGATAACAAACTGACACTGAATTTTGTAGTTATGTTACTGCAAAAGAGAGATACAAAAATTCCCCGGCCAAATAAGCCACTCTGTATATAACAAAGGGAAATGTCGTCGTTTGTTTCATGCCAGTTAATTGGCGCAGTCTGTTTCTGTGAAATACATATTAAAAAACCGTGAAGAAGAATCGCGGTAACCAATTTTAACTTGCGCATCGCTCATATTTTACGTCCTGCTTTCGTAGCTTCCTTGTTTGTAGCAAATCGATAGGTTATCTGATTAGCTGGACAGGTACAAACGGAAGGCAATAGACTACAAGAAAAGAATTAAGGAAAAAGTGGTTTCAGCCAAACCGGCGTTTGAGCTGAAACGCGTACTACCAATGCAGAAACAAGGTTGCATACAGTATTTTGTTTTTTTGTATTTAGTGTTAAAAGCTATCCGTGAACGCTGAGACGGAAGAAATTGACTCTGTACAGTATAAAGGAATTCACTGCTCTACGTGACCAATGGTTCAACGAAATCATATATAAGAGAGCAAGAAAATTGCAGACTTCAGTTGGTGAAAAACCAGAAACGTGGAGACGTTCTCAAGATTCTCTAAAAGGAGAAGACCGCTCAGAAATAAGCGAAAGAGAAAACTTCTTTGAAGTCATCATGTTTAACGTAAGTAATCGCTGTTTCTTGCGACTGTTTAGAATCTAATCTAGGCACACAAAAAAATCATTTTATACCAGGATTGAAGCGGATAACCATGCTATCAGACTCTTTCTAATGTGTCGGCCATGTGTCAGTTTTAAAAAAGGATGTTCCAGTTTCTCTTGGGTTTTATAAAAATTTACTTAGAAAACTTAAGTTCAAAGAATTACCGGGTCATTCAGGGTTATGCAACAAGTTATTACAACAAACGAGAAACGGTATTCAACGCGATCGAAGAAACTTTTAACGCAAAATAAAATATTAAAGTTAATAAACGCAAAAGTGATGTTTGAATTTGGTTCTCGACCATTCACAACCTGACAAGTTGCTCTGCACAATAACACACCAATGGTACCAACAGGTCTCAATGATTTTAAAAATAATCTTTTACATTTTTATTTTAAAGAAACTATTTGTATTTGTGGCCAGAAGTTACTGCCTCCTGCTCTCTCTACTTGTATTAACAAGCTCCACTTCCGGAAATCCTTTATCCAGGGGTGACGGATCTGAGTCTAAGAAGGTAAGCTCTTCCTTTACTTTGCATTATATTTCCTGCTCCCTCCCCTCTTCTTTTCTTTCATTTAGGAACCTTCTGGATTTGGATATGGTCTCTTCTTAATAATAATAATAATAATAACATTAATAATAGTACATGTAATCATAAAATCACACTAACCATTAAGTTCCTATAGCGGGGTTTTGCTGCATTTTCAAAAAAAGACCATTGAAAGATGTATTCTCAGATAAGAGCAAAAAGAACTGCGTTACAATTTGAACTGGCTGTTCGTCACCCTCATTCACCTGAACTACTGTACTGACATTTTAATTCTTGCTTGTCTAACGCAGGTCGTGGATTTTAATATTCACGTTACTGAATCGGGAGAAGAGTACAACGAAACGATTGAAGTGGATACACAGAAGCAAACAGAGGTGTTTAAAGTTCCTGCTCACCCCGGTGTGGATCGCAGTGATATCATGCATGACTTTAAACAGGTAATTATAAGCTTCACAACATTGTTGGATGTTACATGTTGCGTCAGTTTGCACACCCTGTTGCATGTTGTTGCGCGTTGTTACAGAAAGTTTGACACCGGTGAAACTTTTAGCGGAGCTCTAGCGCGCGCAGCGGGGAACCGTGGGGAAGAAAATCTGGTTACTATGCATCCAAGAAATTTTTGTTCTGACAAAACGCACTTACGTTCATCCCTTCATGTAATCTGGTCCGGTCGTGAGCGTTTAGATTTCATTTCCTGCGCTAATGGCACATAGAATCGATAATGAAAAGAGAAATTAGTTCACCAGTTAATTTTTCTACTTATCTTTGATAAATTGTTTTTTTTTTTTATACTTTTTTTTCTTCCTTTTTTTCTGAATCTTCTTTGCAGAATTTAACAATGTTGGAAATTCCGGACAAAGGGTTTTGCATTTTATTGCCTCTTCCAAAAGATTTGCTTGCCCCGAATAAACCCATTGGAGATCTTAAAAAAGCCCCCCGGGCCAGAAAATAATTTTTTTCAATTCTACTTTTCTTTTCCTTTCAAGAAAGCTCCCTAATTTTCATACTCTTTTTCTGAATCTTACTTGCAGAAATTAACCATGATGAGAATTCCGGACAAAGGGATTTGCTATCTGATGCCTCTTCCAAAAGATTTGTCTGCCCCAGATAAACTCATTGGAGATCTTGAAAAAGCCTCCCAGGTCAGAAAATTATTTATTTCCATGTCTACTCTCTGTTCCTCTCAAGAAAGCGTCCTTAAGCTTAAAAGGGACAAAGTCAGCTGATGCATATGCGCATTAAATACTATTTCTTACCTCATTTGCTAGCGCTTAATACAAGATGCGCGATTCATGCTGTTTTTAACATAAAAACATTCATAGGATGAGCATATCACTATTGAATGACAATGTGAACTGCGAAAATTCAAATTTAAATGAAGATATGATCATCGCAGTGGCAATTGCAATTTAAGCAATTGCAAATCAGTAAAAATTAATTTGCAACTGCATGCTTAAATTGCAATTCTTACCACTGCGACGATCATATCTTTATTTAAATATTTGTGTTTCCGCACTGAGTTCACATCATCATTCTATGTTTCATTTCTTTTCACGGGTTAAGATGAACTCAAGAAACTGGCCTGCTCTTTATGCATGGGTCTTCATAGCTCAATTAGTATAGCACTGCAGCGCCAATGCGGAGGCCATGGGTTCAAATCCCGTTGAAGTCCCGAAAATGTTTTCGGGTTTATTTGCAATTGCTTAAATTGCAATTACCACTGCAACGATCATATCTTCATTTAAATTTGTATTATTAACTTTACTGACTTAAGACTTCTGACCTCCACGATACATGTAGCCGGACATTAACTTAACGATCATTCAATCCACCAGGGAGTTATCGACAAGGGAAAGCGTATTGACAGCACATGGATGGTGAATGGAGAACTCACTGAGCGTTCATTTCTCAGCGACGATCTACAGCAATTTTGCACTGACTTTCCAATATACCTATTGAAAGAGTCACGAGACTCTTTGGCAGTCATCGGCATCCAAGAAGCGGGTAAGAACCTAAAACTCTAGTCCTAGAGACATGCATGCGCGTCGCGCGAGCATACCGTTGTTGTGCTAGTCTTCCGCGCCTCTTACCCCACGAGGAACTAGTAATTAATCCATGGCGATTCTCAGGGTAAGTTTACATGGAGGTGGGGGGCCCCAAGGTAGGTGAGGTAACCCACTTAGGTGCATGGGGTAAACCTGCCTGTCCATATAATCATTTTAATTTGAGAACGTTTGCATGATAGGCGGGGTGACCATATGAGAGATTATATGGACAGGCGGGTTACCCCATCTAAGCAGGTCACCTTAACTACCTCGGCTCTCCCAATTCCATGTAAACACTGAAGCCTTTAATGGCTGAACGCCTGACCCGAAGTATTTTATCCTATCCAGTTTATTGACTCACCAATTTATTCGGTACAGTTGTAATATTTTTGAAGTTATCAGGTTTGTAGCGTAAAGGGGCTGTGACACGGCTTCAAAGTTAAAGTTGCTAATATTGCAAATTACGCTTTCTTATGGGCTACTGAGCTTAACGTTGGCGAAGAAACAACTTGTAAATGACAAAAACATAGCTTTTTTCCCAAAATATGCCTCTCAAGCATTATATTAAACGTTACAAACAACAACAAAAAACTTTGAAAAACTGTTAGGCTAAAAAGTTTTGAAAGACCCATAATTTCACTCCTTTTCAATCTTCTTCAACTTTATCTATCCGCGTCCACTTCTATATTTGCTGTGTTATTCATACTTTCTTTTAATGCTTTGATCTTTTGTTTTATGTTTCACTCCATGTGGCGACAATTCGTAAAAATATTTACGCGACACAGCTCTAAACACAGCTCCACACAATATCAAAAAAGATTTTTTTTTTCTTTCGCAGAAATTCCAAACCGACTGCGGAGACAAGCTATACCCTACGTAGGCAAAATATGCGATGGCGGCATGGACTACGACACAGCTCTTCGTTATTGTGACAAACCAGATTTGAAATGCAAAGTGGCCACCAGAACGTGCTACAAGTGGGTGACATGTCCAGGGGGAGGTGGAAGTGAGGCTCCCCCTTCCTCGTTAATGGCAGTAAACTCGCTCGTTGTTGAAGAACGTTCAAATGGTTGTTTGGAACAGCATGTATACGCAGACATCAATTGCTGCAGATACGAATGCCCGTAGTAAACACGAGTATTTCAGATAAAAATCAAAAGGAATTTTGGTTGTCTGGATCATACACTTTAAAAAATTGAGTCGGGTTTTTCCCGTATTCCATTGCAGTAGAAAATTACAGAACAGTTTTCAACAGGGGACCAAAAGGTAACGCCAGCTTACAGAAATGCCCCTTAACAAAATCGTTCTAAGAAATAAGTAATTGCCCGTAATAGCCAAATTCGAGGTTAATGGAGAAAATTTTGTTTTGAGATAAAGCCGACTCCAATACACGCATTCAGAAAAGGTTAAAAACATTGACAATTCAATTTACTACGAAATAATTGATTTATTTTGATAGCCAACTCTATGTAAGATCTCAGAGTAAATGATAGAGTCTTGTAAGGTGGTTCTAACTTTTGAGTCTGTGAGTCTTTTGAGGGCTATGGTGTGACCATTCAAATGGAAGCTACTGAGCAGCACTTTCCTGTGGTACTGTTTATTATGCTGTACAAGGTGGTTCTAACTTTTGAGTCTGTGGATCAAATCCTATGGTGTGACCATTCAAATGGAAGCTACTGAGCAGCACTTTCCTGTGGTACTGTTTATTATGCTGTACAAGGTGGTTCTAACTTTTGAGTCTGTGGATCAAATCCTATGGTGTGACCATTCAAATGAAAGCTACTGAGCAGTACTTTCACCAAGCTCTATTTACTTTTCATCATTTTACAAAATGAAACTTGGAACTTTTGTCTTAGTAATTTTGATTTTTGCCACTTTTGGGAGCAAATAAGTCCGAATTTTATTTTGAGGCTCCAGTTGTTCAAAAGGTGGATAGCGCTATCCAACGGATAAATCTCTATTCAAAGGACAAGTATTAGGTAAACCAATCGTACTATGCATTGGATCAGAGATTTATCCGGTGGATAGCGCTATCCACGTTTTAAACAACTGGGGCCTGGACAATTAAATGGAAATTGTGTGAAATCAGGTACAGAATTTTCTCAGATAATTTATAACTCATGAAAAAAAAAACACTAATGCGACGGTGGTTTTGATATTGCATTTTAAATTAACATAAAACTTCGCGAAATTTACCTTTGAATTTCTTCACGAATTAGAAGCTACATGAGACACTCCACTAAGTATTTGGATATCAAATGAAACACTCCTTCTCGTGTCTGATATATCACTTATCGGTGTTTGGATATCGGATGATTTTTCTGAGGGGAGTGGGAGGGGTAGCCTGCGAATAGCTTTGCGTGCAGAGAAAGTTACACAACTCAATGTTGAAATTGTGATTTCTTTTAATACGTAAGAGTTGAAATATTTCTACTCCATCTATTCCAGTCCCCTGGCGATCTTTGCAACATCTCCCCCTTCAAAACACTTGCCTGTTCTAGGGCAGTATAAAGAGATTTTTATTCTAGCAACTACGCTTCAGAAAACAGCTGTCATCCGTCGAATGGTATTTTTGCTATTCTTGCCGGTTTTAAGCCGGAAGTAGTTTGGCTATGTCGTCAACTGCGCAATCGCGCCGTTGTCTGTCTCTTATTCTGTCGATTATTAGTACAATTGACGTCAACCGTATTGATATGGGCAAAGTAAATTAGAGACCAACACAGCCTGATTGTACTAGAGAGTCAGGAGATTATTATCAAATGGGATTATTATACGTTTCTGGGAAACTGCCCACTTACCCCTCCCCTAAGCCAACATTAACACTTGCTTCTCACTGAGGGCAAAATGTTGGCTTAGGGGAGGGGTAGGTGGACAGTTCCCCAATGCTTCAGTTTTGTCTCATACTAATGGTCTTGTAGCCTGTCCCAGCGTCTCGGATGGTAGGGATGACGTGTAAGGCACGCCAAAATATAAGCGTGAGAACTGGGATGTAATCAGAGGGTATACCACGAACTGGTCTACCGGAAAAAGCCATTTAAGGTCTTTTAAAGAAATGATTACAGGCTCCGCCGTCCTTCCCCTCCCCAGTTTCCTCCCGTTTCATTTTCGTGTTCGCGCTCACCCGACTATCTCGGAGCCTGGAATAGGCTGATGGTCTTGCTGATTTTAAAAGCGACAAAGTCGATTTGAGTTTTCCAGTGAGACTTTTATCTGTGAAGACTTAAAAATGTTAATAGATATTTTGCAAAATCTTAACGCTCCACTCCGAGATATTTTACAACATCTTTTCATTCCATTACCGAGCGCGAGATCGTGTTTTGTTGTCCGCAGTACTGTTCATTCTGAGTTACCTGCACTGGGTTCATTAGCCTGCGAGCAAGCTCTCCTATTTGGGCAAGCGAAGCGAGCCTCGCGAGAACGCGCGAGCGAGGGGCGGAGGAGCTTTCCTCTGCTCCTCGCGGCTTCGCCGCTCGCTCGCGCGTTCCCGCGAGACTGGTTTCACTCGCCCAAATAGGAGAGCTTGCTCGCAGGCTATGAGTTCATTAGTTGTCACAAGTTTACAACTACATCAATATTTTGTACAATAGAAGCCAAGCGATTTTTTGCTCTTGAATTTAATATTTGTTCACTTTGTCTAGGACTTCCTGAAGTAAAAGACTTGTTAAAGGAAAAGATAAGATAATTTAAAGTTTCAAACACTGTCAGAACAAAGCTCTGATTAGCGTTTGATGTCATAGCGCTAATGAAATGGCTTTTTTACGTCAGTCTACTGTCTACACCGCCCTATACCGCCCAGGGAGTCTTAATAAGGTGTTATAATCAAACAACAAAGGTATTACTGACTGGATTATTGCTTGCCTCTTGAGAACATCAACAAAATCAATTAAACACATTAACGTGGAGTTGCTTGGTAATTTAGCGAAAGATTTGCGTTTTAAGGACAATTGAGACTAATGGAAGAGCTTAAAAACCTATTTGCAATATTGTTCGGGCGAGGCTGTCATTAAGGTAGAAGTTTGTTCGTCTGAATTTTACGAATCTCGGAAAGTTTATATTGGTCTGAAAACGTATGAGAGACGCAGGAAGTAGCGTATCAACTGGTTTTGCATAAACACACTTAAAAATGATCTCAATTGACGCACTTAGTATTTAAGTATCGAACATGTTTATAAGATGGTATTAGAACAAAAGTTTTTGTTCGCACAAACAAACTTGAAGCGACAGAACAACAAGATTAAGTTACGCTCTTAAGAATTTTTCACTTTCAAGCCGGATAAATTTAAGAATTCATCCTCTGAAATTCACTGTTAAAAACGATCCTATATAACAGAAAAAAGATCGCTTGATTTCGTACTCCCAGAACAAAATAAAACATTTACGGCAAATTCGGAACGAGGTGTCGACCGGCAAATTCTAAAAGCTCTAGCTTTTAAACCACCTCGCACTTTTTAAGAAATTTCCTTTGGCTATGATTATTTGCTGAAGTAACTTGGTGTCATCGTTATTTTGAAAAGGCGATGTTTGCGCTAAAACACGCTCCAAGAAGATTTCACAAGACAAAGGGCTTAAAAGCTCACACAAAGAAGGATTGCCATCGTTTATTTTAGTTTTCGATATTTTCGTTACAAACAGCACAAAACTAAGCAATGAATAAGGCGGAAGAACACCAGCCTTCATTCTCGACAAACAGTTTAAGTTCACCATCTGGAAAATTGTCTAAAGCTGAAGATTG